TAAAGAGTAAAACATTTTAAATTAAATCATAAAAGGTTTACTCTCATATCAAGATCCCTATCTTGATGTAAAACCTATAAATTTAATCAGAAACCTTTATCACATAAATTAAACGATAAGATAATAAAATATTATTGTCATATATTAAAATAAATTATTAAATAATAATGTATTTAATATATTATACGAATAATTGAATCGTAAACATAACACTTATATCCCTAACGAAAAGTACAATTCAAACCTATATCCTCATTTAAAGAGATAAAAATACTTATCATCCAGCAAAGAAAAGGGGTGGTATGATGATTGAATCCATATCTGGTTGTAAATGAATTTTCTTTTTGATCAAATTTATTTTCATGTGTCGTTAAAAATTAACAGCTTTAAGTTATAGCTACAGTCTACAAGAGTACTTACAAAGGAGGAAAAGAGAAGCACGAACTTGGTTCTCTGTTTCCTTTCAGTTCATATAAGAAGTGAATCCATTTGCCCAATACCTTGCTAATATTCAGCTTAATTTCTATACAAGCATTAAGTTTATATATTAAATATTAATCAACCAAACAGTGAATAAGTGAAAAACATAATGTCTTCATGCCCTCAGGCTTAATATAAATTGAGCAGGCTCGCATGATTCAACAAGTGATCGAGATGCTTGATTCCATCTGAGAATTTGAGAGGGCAAGTCTCCTTATAAAACTTTAGTTGCAAAGAATTCCAATCATTCATATCAGCTGTTATGATTCTTTTCTTCTTGGTAGTATCAGCAATTTCTGATAGACTTTTTTGCTTGATCAATCTAATTGTATTGAAAAAAATTTGAGAAACCATAAACATTTTTTATTCTAAACCTGCAGGTATACTTCCTGTGCAGGCTTGTTTCCGACTTTTGTCAAACAACTCGAATAAATACATCGGCCAGTATTCCCCCGAGGCAAGAATGAATATAGGATCTCGTTAAGTTCTTCTCAGATCAACAATGCAACCATTGGAATTGGGAACCAGAACATCAAAGAAAATGAAACATTCTGGTCTCTCCAGATCATTGGCCAGCATAGCAGGTAGCTCTCCTGAAATTCTATCATCACCTGGTTGCAGCTATTCCATGAGATGGAGCAGAAACCTCGTATCCTTGCATGAATTTCTTCAACTTTTCTGTTTTGCCGACTGCGGTGAGCCACTCTGTAAGAATTTCCATGGTGATATAATCAGGATTGCACCCATGCTCAGTCATTCCATCCATCAATTCAAATGCCTTCTCCAACCAATTATTCTCTCTCAGGCCTTTAAAGATAGAATTGTATGTATTGGTGTTGGGCCTGACGCCTTTGACTCCCATGTCATTCATCAGGGAAAGAGCAAATTCAACATTTCTATTCTTGCACAACGAGTCTATAAGAATGTTATAGATTACAGTATTTGCTGTTACTTTCGATCGAACACCCATGTCTCTGAAAATCTTAATGGCTTCTTCTACGTTTCCGTTTAAGCAATAAGCATGTATCAAAGTTCCATAGGTAACAACAGTAGGCACCAGTCCATCTCTAATCATCTTTCTCATCATAGCATGAGCAGTTTGAAAATTCCCTGCTTTACTAAAATAGGATATCAAAGTGTTATACGTCACACAATCAGCCTTTACACCACTCTCTTCCATATCCTTGAGCATCTCCTGAACTTTGTCCATCTTATTCTTCCTGCAGAACCCACTAATCAGAACATTGTAGCAAACAATATCAAGGGAGAACCCAGCATCTTTCAATTTCGAGACTACAGTACAAGCATCATTTAACCTTC